AAGAGGTCAGGGTCACGAGGGTGAATTTATGTGCCTTACGTAACGCCACTTGCAAGCTCGCAAGAATGTTCCTACCTACCTATAGTACCTAAGGTACCTTTCAAAGGTGCTTGGCCCGCCTTGGGAGGGAGCTGTTGCCTCGAATGTGTAGATAAAACGTTGTACCTGATTTCCGTTAGGAGGCCGGAAGGTAAGGTCAAGATTGAGCTTGGAGGATGGAATGGAAGACACTGACTGAGGAGTGGGAACACGGGAAGGCACAGCCATGTCTGCTTCGTGGACCGCCCACCTCAGTGCACAGACGACCGGGAAACGACGACGAATAGAGGGGCCCGGTAACCAGTGATGGCAGGATGGCAGACGGGAAGAGGAAGGGACGCACGGAATGCCGAAGACCTCATCTCTTTCTTACTTTAACCTCAATGAAAGTAGTGGAAGGCGCGAAGGCAAGGTACGGATGCCTTACGGAGTGCAGAGTAAGGTACCTTACGGAGGAGGTGCACCAGATATCGTCCCTTCCTGCCTTGCCCCGTACCTTCCTTACAACATTGTATGTACTTCATACAATGGAACCCTTCAGTGATCTGAGGCAAGTGGTAGAGGTAAGGTACTTTGTGGCCTGGGAAGGTCTGGGTCGACCTCGCCTCACCTCATGCAGAGAACACAGGCAAACCTCAGGCTGACTTTCGATTGAGGTGTCTTTGCAATTGTCCGAGAAAATGCAGTTGAGGTAACCTTGGCAGTCCAACTGACTTTAACTTCCATTGACCCTTTTCATTCCGAAGCATTCGTAGCATCAACACCAAACCATGCTGCAATCCCTAACTCCTACTCGGCACCCCACGGGCACTTGCACCATCTGCAGACGAGGTCTCTGAGAGACGTATGGATAGGTGCTCCAGCCTCCAGGGCATGCACACCCCCCATCCATTGTCAGGGTCGTGTCCACTACATGCCTGGCCCTGCAAGATTGGACTCTGAAGTTTGAACGCACTGGGGGAGCCACTAACAGTGAAAGTAATAGGCTAACATCGCCCTAGATCGTCGCCCTAATTAAACATGGAGTCTACGGATACTTCCAGTTTCCACCGATATGTCGACATCTTCCCGCTTGTTTCAATATCCAGGCTCTCACGCTCTACGAAGTCCGTACACATATTTCATACGGATAGACTCCAGCCTCCGTGCGGCGTGCCCCAGTGCCTCCGTACCTCCAAACCCTGACGGTCCGCGGCCATTCGATGAGGTGCCGACCTTCTAAGTTCTCCATCCTTTTCCACCGGCAATAGACCACCAACTAGGCGAGACGCCGGCCAAGACTGCTCACCAATACCATGTCTCTTGTCACCACTCGATGCTCACGAATATACCCAAGACAATACGCAGCATATCCACCCCGGCAAGCCCTCCCACAAGGTACCCATATCCTGAACCTGAACCCAAACCCCAGTCTCGTTGCCGACGAACAGCCACGTTCAAGACGACGACGACGACGACGACGACGACAAACGCAAAAGACTAGGAAAAAGAAAAGCAAAGAAAAGACTACGGCAGCATCAAAGCTGCACCAGCCTGACCATGTTGAAGCCCCAGCCTGTAAACCAGAGTCCGCCTCCCACGCAGCCCGGCCCAGCGCGCCGCATCTGCATTGCAGCTTGCAGGCAGTGACAGGGCGCCATGGCACCAACCAGAACAACGCAACGAGACTTCTGCCGCTCCCGACAGGTTTCAATCTGAGGCGAACCTCTCCCCCCCGGCTCCCACATCTCAGCCAGCCATACCTACATACATCTGGATTATGGACACTCCGTACGCTTCTCCTTCACATTGCCATACCGATACATCGTCATGCATCGTAAGCTTTCATGGCTCATCATTGGTTTTCCAAGCAGCTCCAAACCCCACGGCGACCCTGGTCCAACGCCCGTCCTCTTTGGGCGCCGGCTTGTCTCTGCCCAAAGGCTTCACATACCAGAGCTGAGCTCTGAAGCTGAGGCGCTTTCGACGCCCTGTCTGGACTACATTATATCTTAGACCTTGCCGTGGTTGGCTCACGACCACGCGATGGATCGAGGTACATGACATGGCTGTCAAGATGGCGCTGTGGTCCCCGGCTCTTTGCGGCTCGCCTTGCCTTCCTTCACGGCGCGCGATTTCGGCCGACAGGACCACAGACTCTTCATGTCTGTGACCCTGACTTGATCTCCAGACTCCATGCCATCCATCATGATCCTCACAGACTCCGACACACCATACCATGGATGCCACTCACCCAAGGTTCCACGGTCCCACCCCCACCCACAAATGGCTCCGCGCACAGCACCGGCCAGTCACGCCGCACATCGCTCACCAGCTCTTTGCTGATTTGCCAACCAACGATAGACTACTCCGCCCCGTCTCTTCACCTTGACAGTTGACTCTGACCAGAGCCCGTCGTCTTTCCAAATTGAGCCGCCTGCATATGCAGTGACAGGCCTCAGAAGCATGACCATCGGTCTCACAGTCCACCATGATATCATGGTACAGAGACGTCTCCTACGTTTCGCTGCCCCAACGCCCATGGACAAGTACCGACCAACGCTGGCTCAATTCGCTTTGTGCCCGAAATGGAGCAAACCACCGTGATCCCATCTTTTCCCTGGACTCTCGTCTCTTTGGGTCCTGACTCCTGCACGACTAATACACACGGCTTACCATAGGACAAGGTTGAAGGTGCCCCTCATTACTCTTAGCCTCTTACACAGTACCTAATAGTCTTGACTCTTGAGCATTCTCTGCTGGAACACCCCCCGATGTCCATCTCCGAGTTCCTCTCCTTCTCCCCACTCTTCTTGACACAACGCGACGCGATCCTAGGCAATGATGCACCCTCCTTGTCAGGGTTGTCTCGCATCGTCCCGGTCAGTTTTCTTCACCTCCATCGCGGTTGTTGGCCGATTGCCATGTCTTCGTCTTCGTTCCACCAGCGGAATCCGTCTAGGGCGTAGGAGTAATACGGATAGATCTATTATGATTTCCAAAAATCGGCCACTTAGCTGGCCCATACTCGTCGACTCACGAGTCGTGCGAATTAAAGATCGACTGTCGGTCGCCGGTCCCCTCTTGGTCTCGTCATGGTCAATAATGACCAGTCCGCAGGCGAAACCAACGGTCTGTCGTCTCTCATTTTTCACTCTTGTTAGTGTAGGAATGGATGCTTTTCCTGCTCACTTCGTCTCAAGCAGTCAAGGTGGAGTCTCCGCGATACAACATGGCCGCGCATGACTTGAGCCCAAGTACTCAGGGAGTCGGCGCACAGTCCAGCTTTCTGGCCAAGCCAGCTTCTGGTCAATGCCAAAAGAAAATCTACGACGGCGAATCACAGCCCTTGACACCATCGTGGGGTGGTGTCGTGCGGGTAGCGACTTGCAGTACTTGAGGGTACCTTGCTGTCACTGGCAAGGGTGGTCGGCCATATTGCGCTAGCAACGACCAGGGCTGATGGAGGAGTCAGGAGGGGCCCGGCGAGATGTGGGAGCGGACAGGATGTTGGCGAGAAAGAGAGAGAGAGAGAGAGTGAGAGAGAGTCTCTGAGAAAGGCACCCATTTTCTGTCAGTCTCTCTCTCTCGTTCAATCTCCTCGCCTCTCTGTCTTACGTCGTCTGTTCACGCGTACTCTCTCCCCTCTGCTTCTTGACGACAGAAAACGTCGGCCGGTATAATTAGCACTGCACCACTGCATCATAGGTAGAGGAGAGAGCTACTGCCAAGGATGCCCCGAAATTCACTTGTCATCCACCGTCAACGAGAGCCAAGCTGGCAGCGATTCGGTTCGTGTCTTTTCTACATACGGATACATACATAGGACTCCGTACCCAGTACCCTCGTCGTTATACGGTGACCACCGGGCTCTTTAATTAGCATGGCCTTCCTTACGGCACTGACGGCACAGATAGGGACTGCCCTGGGGGCGGAGGAGCAAGGAAGCTGGCAGCAGAGAGCATCAAGACCCCCGGCTGTCGTCTTGGCACAAGTCGGTGCGACGCGAGACCTCACCACCACTTCACTGCTCACCTCACATCCCACACCGTCCTTATCCGCCCGTGTTCGCCCATGTTCACCCATCCATCGTGTGGGGATGGGATGGATGGGTACGGAGTACTATGTATTCGTACGGAGGCCACTGGCAGGCAGGCAGTCAGTCTTGTTTCCCATACTCCGTATGAGGTATCCGTTCGAAGTACATACCCCCCATCCCATTCATTCTCGCACCTTGCTTGAGGGGAGCTACCCAATGTGCTAGGGGACCTTAGTTCGTATGGGAGAAACATCGATTCTCTGCATGTCTTCCCTCATTCACCTCTAGACCCTGTCGCCGTCCCGACTTCCCACCCACTAGGCAGCGCAGCTATCTGCAGATATGTATATGCATATCCCGCCCCTCGAAGCGGCTGGCCCCATATCCTGTCGTCCAACGACCCTCTTTCCTTTCCCACTTCGTCTCGACGACAAGCTGGTTCCCAAATAAGACCCAGCGATCATCTCTCCACCCCATCTCAGCCCCTCCATTCCACGTCGGCTTTCCCAGTGATCAGCCTTTCCCTTCTTCCTGAGCGGACCGCAACGGTCTTGATCTTCAGAAGACTCTTGCCCGCTTCCCTGTCTCATCCATCTCGACATTGGTCACTCGTCCTCGAGGGAGATATCATTTGACTGCCGTCCTTTCCTTTCCTCCCCGCTCGACCTCACACCTGTCGACATTCCATAGCTTTCACCAGACTCGACGATTGATCGGCAACCCAGGCTGTCTAGATCCTATCCTCTCGCCACCGCATCACCTCCGACGAATCGCTCGAATAGCTGGCCACCAGAATCTCACCGGTTTTGAATATTTCGTGTTGGCATGGTCTCGCTAGTGACGAGCCATGAATTCTACTTCTCTCTCAATGGTTTCGGACGAAGGGGACCTCTCGTGGTCGGACAACCACAGTAACTCTTCAGACGACAACATGCAAGACGAAATGCTGCTTCCACACCAACCAACCTCCCAAACGGCAGCGGCCTGGATGGCCTCGGCCAGCATCCCTCACTCTCTCTCCGGGCAGCTGTCTCCCGTCAGCGCCGCCATGGATATTCCCCATTTAGAGCCGTCCGGCGACCCGACAATGGTACACTCCGCATCCTCGTCCTGCACCGATTCCTGGAGCACTGGCCAAGCCGATACGTGCGATGGAGACGATGCTGACAACGACATTGTATGGGAACAGGAATCGGACGACACCTTCGCCATCATACCCAAAATTGAACCCATGGACGACGACGATCTAAGGCTGGGAGATGTCAAGGAGGCTCCATTAGCGCAAACAGAAACTACCCTCGTATCAGCCACACTGAAGCAGAAGCGACCCCGAGGAAGACCCCGCAAGCATCCTGTGGCATCCATTATCAACCAAAGTAAGGTGACCAAGGGTCGATCCAAGACGGGGTGTATTACCTGCCGGAGACGGAAGAAGAAATGTGACGAGGCGAAGCCGAGATGTCAGTGCCACTCCCGCGTGACTGCCTGGTACTTTCTCTCTAACATGCAAGCAGGTATGAATTGCGAGAAGAATGCTGTCGTCTGCGAGGGCTATCATGAGAAGAAGCTTTGGAGAAGCGGCAAAGAAAAGGCAACCATTGGTGAGTGCTCGCTTATGAACCCGGCAATTATGGTGGTGGTCTAACCCGGATGAAGATCACGTTGGGGATGAGGAGTCGCTCGTTTTCACCATGCAACCTCTTTTCAACGGCGTCGACACGATCGAGGACAAGATATTCTGGAGACACTACGGCGTCCACCTCAGCAACGTTCTGACTGTCGAGGGAGAAGCCAAGAATGCCTTCAAGGACATTATTCTTCCCTTGGCAAACCTTCACCAAGGCGTGATGCACTCGATCCTGGCCATGAGTAGCAAGCACATTGACTTTGATACACCGTACGGCGCCAAGTTACTCGAGAAAAATCCGACAACCACCCTGGAGGCGCTTCAAGCCCGGTCAGCGTACCACGAGGAACAGGCGATGAAGACTCTGTACGCCGACATGAACCGTTCGGCGGAGGAGGACATTGACGATCGCGAAACGATTTTATCGGCTCGCTACGCCCAAATCCTCTGCCTCCTCGTCACCACGCTGATTGAAGGTGAACCTCATGGAGCGCATCGTGTTCATCTGAGCGGGTACAAGCAATTGATCCAAGAGAGCCCTCCAGAGGATCCCGTTTTCCTGGCCTTCATCACCGAATTCTTCCAGTACCACATCTACGCAGACGAACTCCTTTGGCATCCCGCACCCAACCGCCCACGCTTGGCTTCCGAAGATTGGAGCCCTTTGGTTCCGTTGGACTCGCCTCGTCTTCTGGGTGTTGCTGATGGCCTGTTTCAACACCTCTGCCAAATAACCACCATCCGAAACGTCATCCGGGATAACATTTACAGACGCGCTGAGACTGTTGTAACGTATCACGTTCTATATCGAGCGCAGGAGATTCAAGAGGCAATCGAGCAATGGATGCCTCTTTGGCCACCAGGCGATAGCCGTCACAGAGTCGGGCTGGTATACAAACACATGATGTTCCTGCATCTCTTCCGCACAATCTACCCCCCTACCTCTCCGGAAAGACGGCCTTCAGTCTACTCCATAGCGACATCTATTGCCACCTCAACCTCGTCGTCTTCCTCCCGTCGGCATTCGCAAATTTCTAGACCGTCTACAGCGACGAGCTGCGCCTCGTCTCCCGGCCTGAGACCCAGCATGGGTTCCGGGTTCCCCTCTTCGATGCAGCTCAAACGGGAGCCAAACTCTCGAGGACCGTCCAGGACGAGCTCGATGCATGAATCGGATGCCGGGTCCTCTAGCTGCGCTGTGATTGATGAACAACGCCCGGCCTCTCCACCACCGGTTCGCCGCCCGCAGCAGCATGATAATCGCATTACTGCTGCGGTGGACGAGTCTCTATCGATCATGGAAGGCTTCAAGCCATCAGACCCAGCCCTCACCCTTTTGCTCATGCCAAGTCTGGTCATTGGTACTACGTGCTTCGATCCTACGCAGCAAGAGCGACTTCGAGGCATCATCCGGTCGGTCCGGGGCTACACTGGTCTTCGCAACTGCGATAGAGTCCTCGAGGTCCTCGAAGAAGTCTGGCACCTCATGGAGTGTGGTGAATGGATATCTGTCTGGGACTGGCAGGGTGTTGCTAGACGCCTCGGACTTGATTTCTTATGCACCTGAACTAAACAGTTCACGGCGGATGGCGCCAATCCATCCGCGCTGTTCTTGTACTCGTCAGACGCTCTTCTCACTGTCTTCTTTATTGCCTTCATCCCGGTATACCCGCGCGTTGTATTCTTCTCTCTACTTTTCTCTCTCTCTCTCTCTCTCTCTCTCTCTCTCTCTCTCTCTCTCTCTCTCTCTCTCTCTCTCTCTCTCTCTCTCACACACACACACACACACATCTTCTCTTCTCCTCCTCGGGTCGGCACTACTGTGGGCGGAGTTACTGGGTGAAGCATGTCATGGGGGCGACATCATGTACAGGGGCCACTTGCATTCCGGTTTTGCACGACGCCATGGGATTGGGATGGGCAACGGGAGGGGGAGCGATTGGTGAACATTGGCATCCTAGACAACAAGACGGGATGGCAGTCGGGAGATTGCCAGCTTGTCATCGCGTTGATCCTTTCTTTTTTTTCCCTGCTCTCCGCACGGCGGCGTTTGTTTTTCTCCTTTTTTTTCTCTCTTTTTTTCACTTTGTACTCTGGAGGGTCGGCTGGCAGTCGTTTTCATATTTTCTTCTTCTCTCTTGTGGTTTCGTATTGGCTTTTTGGGTTAATGGGACGGACAAGGAAGTGTCTGGATCTGGGCGGCTCGGACTCTGTTCCGATTTGAAATTTATCGCAACATCTGTTGTGCTCGGTGAACCGCTTCCCCCAGAATTTGGCTCTGGTGAAAGTCGGAAGCGATGCATGCAAGTACTACATAAGCCAGTATCATGGCATTGGAGGATTATGGTCGCAACACAATACAATCTGCGCTGGTTGCGCCTCTCCTCACTCTTTTGCAGATTGCCTCTCGCCTCGTATTTCGCCTCTGTGCCCGTTACCACCCTCACGATACACAGAGGTACAGTATTACGTTGACTAGATGCATAGGATGGGGTGATGTGCTGCAGCGGCGCCCCCCTCGGACGACTTTTAATGATCCGACATTCGCATCCGAAGCGTGGCCGTGGGTGCATGTTCGGACAAAAACGATGAGTTGTGCAGTGAAGATCCCTATTTGCCGACACGGCCGTGAGAGCCGAATTATCCCACCCACTCACCCCAGGCCCCATTCCTTTGCTCTGCAGTTGGGTACATGTACTTTCTACTTTTCAAACTACCTTCATGATAACTAGAACTACTCAGTAAGAGGGACTTTAGATACAACTGACGCTGATCATCACATCTGGAACCATTTCGGCCACTGCCTGGCCCATCTCTCTCTCTCTCTCTCCAGCGATTCCGAGAACGGACATTGTTCTCCCGTTGGATGGGAGCCGCCGGTCGATGGGAATGGATCATGGACGAGAGGGACCGGGGTGTCGGGGTCTGGTTCAGGGTCAGGGTCGAGGCGTAGTGTAGTGGGGATGGCCCGGGGGTGTGCGCGACCACGTCTGGATATGGGATAGTTGGAGTCGCTGTGAGATGCTGCAGGGAAATGGAGCTGCTGCTGCACAACTGAGGACCAAGAAAGTCTCAACCTTTTGTCCTTCTTGCGGAGTACTCTCGCCTTCAGTCTCAGTTTCGGTCTCTCAGTCGCGGGACTCTAGGGTGAGGAGCTTACCTCGCGGCAGCTTGCAGAGACCCCTCATCCTCCAGGTGGGCGGCAGGCCTCCAAGCTCTCTTCCTCAAATAGGTATTCTTCCCCCCTTCCACTGTCGATGGCCATCACTGACACGGTGCAGTTGGAGCTACGAGCGAGCCGACGGGGGGGGGGGGGGACGAGATGGCGCGCAATCTACGGGACCAGGCCAGGGGGGCTTGGAGAGCCTAGAGGAGCGTTGTCACGTTGGAGAGATTTGGGGGCCCTTACACTAATTCCCGTTTGTTCTTGGGTCCAGGGGTATCTATCTGGGTGCGATGTATCTGTACGTCTGAGGCATGGACGGGGGGTTTATTTAGTACTATGCAAGATATCATTGATTGCCTTTGTTCGTTTTTGTATACTAGATTGATTTCGGCCGCTGCTTCTTACGGTTGAGCCTTGACCTACCTTACCCACTGCTACCCAGGCAGCCCGGCCAATTTTTGTGCTCCGAATGGGCAAAATGCGTGAGGAGGACACACATTTCGTGAACGTCGGATGCTCGGGCGGGAAAGGCTGCCGTGGTGTGTTCACTTGTGTGGTTCATACTCACCTTCTGCTGCACCGTGTCTCCGTTCGGATATCGGATGATTTGTGGTATTGTTCATGGTGGTCCGCTGGAGACAGTGAAAGAAAGTGGTGCGACCGTTGGGAAAGCGGAGAGGCTCTCCGTATTTCATTTCGCTCCCCCCCTTCAGGGCCCCCAGGAGCGTCCTTGAGGAAGAGGGGCCCGTCGGAGGAGAAGGAGGAGGATGGATCTGGTGGGAGCATTCAAGGAAAAGCACGAGAGGGCAGACAATGCTACAGAAGGCCAGGCCGGGTGTGTCGCTGTCGACACAACGTTGAAGCAATCTACCGTGCCACCGTTCGCGTCGCACAGAACCGTCGGCCGGTGTTTGAAGGGTATCCCCCGGGACGGCGCTTCGGGAAGGTCGGTGGCGCGCTGCGGGAGAGAATGGCGGCGGGGGTGGTGGTGGTTAGTTGGTTGGTACGTGCTCTCATCTTCAAGGGTTTTTTTTGCGTTTTTGCTTTTTCCATCTTTTTCCTCCGCATCGCCTCGTCTACCTTAACCCATTTTCTTTTCTTTTCTACCTTACACTTGCAGAGTCTGAGGGTACTATCCCGACGTCTCGAATCCGAGACATGCAGAAACACTATAGACCAACGAGATGCGGTAGGTACTCGCGCCCAGTGACGACTCTGGCCGCCTGGTAACTTGCAGGTGCGTCTTGAGATTTGACCAGGGACAGGCCTGGTCAAACCATCAAAGTCGTGATGTCGTCGAACATGGGGGGAGGGGGGGAGGGTCTCCACTCCAAGCGGCGTTATCTGATGGGCTGTTCATTGCTACATAAAGTACTTTGTCGCGAGATTGAGCTGGAGCAGCGGTGCACACTACTGCGTGCAGGGCCCCGAGGTGCCGAGCCACGATGGTAACGAACGAACGATTGGTATCCACGGAATAGCAGAGTTTGAATGTGCAGTTCAGCAAGGGTAAGTTTACATTGATAGCTACAAAAGTCATGGGATACAAAAGAAATCTTTCGAGCTGCTGCAATCTACAGTGCAATCGGCCATCATCGTACATGGGACTGGCGCAACATGTCGCAATGTCGCTCTCCTTAGTTCTCTCCGAGCCAACGAGCCCAGGATCTGTCCGCAAACGTGCTCTATCTTACAGGTTGGCGTCGTCGCATTCCCAGCCACGCATTATTGTGCCTATGGACGCGCATGTCGTATCTGGATGAGCCACACATCCAACTCTCTGCTACTCCATTCGATGGATGACACGTATCTGGCAAGCCGGTGTCATCCTGTTCGTCTCTTCAGGCTTCATCCCATATCGGCCGAGTCCATCAACCCCGTCGCGTAATCGATCAACGCTAGATCTTTGTCCGATCTGAGGGTCGTCCCAGGAGTTGATAGGTCATGGTGGACCGTGGGATGGGACAATCAGATCTAAGCTCGCATCACACTGTCCCATCGAAGTCACTCGGTCTCGTCTCGCAAGGTAGCTCGGCTCTTGGATCTGGCAACCTCGTTGGTGGACTCCGTGTCGCCATCGGATTCTTGGCGATCTGCCCAAATCAGACTTCGACTCAGACATACATGCCTCGATCTTCACCCTCAATCAGCTTGACAGTGACACCGTTCTTGCCGTCGCGAACAATTTGATATTTGCCACCGAGGACCAGATCCTTGGCAACAAGCTCGCGCGTGCGGCCGAGCGACTCAATGTCACCGATACGCTGGATCGTAGCCTCCAGATGATCCCTGAAGCCCTTCTCGGCGCAAATCTCCTGGAACGCGCGGTGCATCGGCACAGATGAGGCGCGGACCTCAGCGTTGGCTGAGATACTAAACAGGTTGAGCCGGTCCATGTTGCGAATGAAGTCGGCGCGCGTCATGATTTGCTGCGCCTTGTGCATCGGGAACTTGGGCAATACGTGGCCCTTTTCGTCGTCGTACAGCTCCATGTCTTCTTCCTCATCTACGAGGGCTTGGGCGAGGACCATGGCGCCGGCCTATCATATGTTGTCAGTTCAGATTGTCCACTGAAGTTCCCATGCCAGCTTGCGACAATGTGTCAAGGGGGCTTTGTTACGTACAGCCCACTTCTGCTGGTCCATCACGTCGTCGTCCATCTCGGCGCCGAGAATCCAGCACTGGTTGAGAAACCATGTCTTCTCAACCTCGCAGATGGATTTGCATGTAGCAATCATGTCCCTGCTCTTTGCAACACGGTTCAAGAACGACAGTCGGCCGCCCACGAGGTCATATACCTCCTCAAGTTTCGTCGGGCTCAGCTTCTCATTGAAGTACTTTATGCGATACTTTGCAAGAGCTGCGATAGCTTGGCGTTTGGGCAGGTCGCGCACCGACATGATCTCCATACGCGTAGCTAGTTGCTTGAATCGCTCGTATACCCAGTAGTCATCCGTGTTGAAGACCATGGTCACGAGGTTAGACGCCGCCCACTGTTCGGCACGTTGCTGGAGAAGTTCGATCAAGTCCTTGCCATCGTCGTCGTCGCGAATCAGGTGCATTTGGTTAATAATGACCACCAGGGGCTTCTTTCGCGTTTCACGGTTGACCAGAGCCACCTTTTCGAGCTTGTTGAGGGCACGTTCGATGTCCAACAAAGCCGTCGTATCGCGAGGACCGCGTTCGCTGAAGTAACCGCCAATATAATCCTCATGGAACTCAAAGTCGAGGGCCTTGCCGAGGCGTATGCGCACAATCTCTAAATCTGCGTGGGCCTCAAACATGGCCACACCTTCACCGTCAATCTTGCGCATGGCCTCGATCAGCATGCTGCTCTTGCCAGTTCCCTTCTCGCCCATGAGCAAGAAATAGTGCCCAGCCTCTGATCCGTCGATGATTCTGTCGACGCGTGCCTGCTCTGGCCGCTGCACCCACCGATCATCGGCCTCGGCGGAGGTTTGCGGCACTTCCTTTCCAATAGCGGCGAGTTCAAGAACGGGGTCGCCCGGCGTGAAGGCGCGGGTCATCTTCTTCAGGACGATGCGCTTATACGTCTTGTGGTAAGCGTAGCCTGCCACTGCGAAGCCAACAGCAAGCACGAGAATGGAGGCAAAAGATGTCGCGGCGGACTCGAGCATCTTCTTGGGAAGACTATCACCGCCATCGTGGGCTCTTGGGGCAACAGGTTCGGATTTTGAGTTTGATTGTGGTAGATCTAGGTTGGAAGTCAGCTCATGTTGCAATGATAGGATGATCTCTCAATTGAGATTCCTCTTCATTTGCTGGAAACGCAAGGTCCGTTCTGCTAGAAAGTGCATAGGTGACAGTCGTTCACAAGCAAGATGTGACAGCAACCGATTCGCAGCCTGATTCGCTGTGGAAACCAGTCGAGATCTGATCTGCAGCACCTTGGCTTGCAGGATCGGGTTCTCGGCTACACAAAGACGTGGCATCCCTGTCCAAAGCATCCAGAGAAGGCGGATTTCTGGCGCCCAGCCTCGCGCAGCCGTACCCTATTTGGCCTCTTGCAGGTGCCGCATCATATCCATCTCGCCAACCTCGCACGAAGGAAGCAGATGAAGTTGCCACGGGAGACAATGGAACAGTGCACCGACGACAAGAAAGAATGAGGGAACTTGGAGAGGTACACACGAAGAAATGAGAACGTACGCGCACCAACTCACCGGATCTTGCTGGCGGGTGTGTGGAGAAGTAGGCGGCGGCTGTCTTGATCTTGACCGCCGATGAAGTTGGTGGTGCCAATGCCGGTGCCGTCCTTGCCGGTGCTGACAGCGGACCCCAAGGACCGCGGCGGCAGCCACGCGTTCCAACCCACCGGGTCGGAGGGGGGCGCAAGTGCGACAGCATACGCTGCCCACCCTTGCTCGCCAAAGCCATCGCTATACTATGTGATGAGCATCTGCAGGGCCTGCTGCGGCTCGAATCCGATGGCGACGGGTCGCTGAGAAGACGGCCTCGTCGAGTGAGAAAGCGTCTCGTCGGAGTGGAGGGGGGAGAGGGCCGGCCGGTTCTGACAGGCAGCAAATGTGGTGTAGAGAATTAAGCAGGGCACAGCGGAGAGTGCGAGATTTTAGATTGTTTATGGAACAGACAACAGGGAAATTAAAGAAAGGAAGAAAAGACAAGACAAAAAGTCAGTGTCGGTCAAGCCACAGGGGAAAAACAGGAAACACAACACGTCGGTGCTACGAAAGGAGAGGACTCCGAGAGCTCCTGCTACATCTTTGGCCTTTCTTGGCATGGTTCTTGACCTTCTTTCCTTGGCATTGGCCCCTGCCCAGCTGAGGGACGAACCTAATTGTGGCGCCGACTAGGATCACGTGATTGCAACATTCGCAGTTGTGGCTGATGCTTCCCCAAATACATCTTAGGTAAGCATACCCATCCTGTCACTCTTATTCATGCAGCGCCATATTAATATCAGGTTCCGAATTCAGGTAGCTGTGGAGCCAAGCATCACGACGACAACGTAAGCTACCTATTGGCGAAGCTTCATCAAATAACTGTCTGTTAAGGCAAAACGTCAACTAACTGTTTTCACATAGCCGTATCTAGGTTGTCTCCAGATTTCCTTAATCTCTCACCAGTCCTTTGATGAAATCAAGATGTTACACCATACCTTTCTCTCCATCCTATATTCCACCCCTCGACCGATGTACGGATAGATGCTTGCATGACAATGGATTTTACGAGTACCAATATCACCATTCGTTCATCCACCAGGCACATGACTAATGTTGTTAGATTGCCAAAAGTCGAATAAACTGAGCGACTATTTAGTTTTTCTCTCTTGTTTTCTCTTCCGCTAGTTTCATTAGTTACTTATTGACTAATGAATTTCCACGTCGAATGCGAAGGTTCCTTGGTAATCCTACACCATTTTCATGTGATGATGATGTCTATCATGAAAGGAAAAGCTTCAAAGCGTATACCAAAAAATTACCGGCTGAAGTCAGGATGGGTACTGTGTCAGACTTGAGGCGGACGTTATGCTTCGGGATCTCGAAGCGTACATGTTGTATTGTTCTGTAGGTATGTTCATGTGAGCAGGCTTGTCTTCCTACAGGCCAATCCACCTCAGCTCTCACGTTGCCGTCGTCCACAAAACGAGTTCTCTCACCGAGCATCATCGATGCCTGATGTGAGCCTGTGCCTTGACTTCACCATTGTCCCTTCCCTCTCACTTTCCCCCTTTGCCCGACGCGCCTGCCCATCACGCGCTTCACTGTTGACTTTGCCATCCCACAAAATTATTTCCATTCTGGCTTCTCCAACTACCGCAAACCTCACGCTCCTCGTTTCTCCCATTCATTCTCTTGTACACCAACAGCCTCGTCTCTTGCTCCTCCACTTCTCGCATCAGATATTGTTCTTCTACCAGCTTCAAAACTACTCTGCGATTAGCCACATTGGGAGGCTTTGTGTAGGCAGCTTTTATCGTTGTTGAGACTGAGAGAGTATGCCACCAAAGCTCCGTCTTTTCACATACCTTGTTCGAGAATACTGACCGATATTGGTGCAGATCTTCTCTGCTCGACCAAAGTTTTGGGAGCTTGGACAACGAGAATCCTGCTTGGATCACATTATCCTCTATCGGCTTCATTGCATCAGCTTTCGGACTTGCTTCACCGCTTCTGTCCAATTCATCCATCAACATACCCGAGGCTCGTCTGTTTGCTAGCTGTGTTACAGCCTTCAGCACGACAATGGCCCCAAAACCAAAGAAAAGCAAGAGCTCGCAGCTTTCGCGTTTTCGATCAGATTCCGTTCACTCACTTGCGCACACTTCGAACACCACTCGCCAGATTCCTCAATCTGCTCAGTCACAGCCACGTCCATCAACTCCGAGCACAGATGGAGTTGATCGATCCACTCCGCTATCGAGGCTTTTTCGACGGAACCGAACCAATACTTCGCTCAACACTACACACCAGCTAGCCTTGGAAGCCCCCCTATCCAAAATCGAGCGCAACTCCCCAGTGCCTACTCCGGACCCAGCTCCGCCTCCGCCTCTTCCCACTCCTCTTCTAGTGGGATGCCCAGGCCGCGAGATCACGGGCGCGAAGACCAATGGCCGCGAATGGGCTTGCGACTTGGATGAGCCTCCTGTCTTGGGATACTCCGAAGAATTGTCCAAGACTGACTTTGAAGAACACCCACTGGCCCATTATATCAAGCTGGAAAAGGGATGGGAGAAACACCAGCTTGCCATGTATGGTCTCATTCTGCCAGCCAAGGTCGAGAATGGCACTCCCATCTACACTTGGGAAAGTGACCCCGAAGACGAGGAGGATATGGACAAGGCATTGGTGCTTTCAAAGGAGATGAGACAGCCCGCTAAGCCTTCCGCCCAATTGGAGCGACCAAGAACTCCTTCGAACATTCTTCACAAAGTCAAGTCTTTCGCAAACTTCATTGCCACATCTGATGCAGAGAAGGATGTCCCCGAGCTCCCAACACTCAATGAACTCCTGGACCAGTTCGGCCTACCCCCCGGAACCCCAAGCGACACAGCGCCTCGGAGCTTTCTCCGTACGACCCGATCGAGCAGCTCTCTGCGCCCAAAGACACCCACTCGACCTGTTCCCAGTGCTACCAAGTTACGCAGCAAGCGAAGCGCAGGAATCTCAAGATCCCAGATCTCCAATCCCATCGCTCCCGAGGAAATGAGACGGGTTGGATCCGACTTCAGCCAGGCGGTGGCTCGACGTGGCAGAAATGCTTCGGGAGGTGAGCGTGATTCGCTCTACGCATCGTCTTTACGAAGCCCATCAAACCTGATCTCTCCATCCCTTTCGACGAGTGTCCCTCTGTATCTACTTCAGCCTCAACACCCTACCATCTACTTTGGGCAGAACGAGGCCCCTCCTGAGTTCCGACATGCTCCTCCTCGTCTGGCTCCCATGGAGTACACTCGGCAGTATTATATTGCCAAGGCTAAAGCAGAGAGAGAAGGAGTCGACTGCACAATCCTCAAGCCTGGTACTGTCTGGGCTTGGACAGAACACTTCAAGGAGTTTCTCTTGCTCCCGCAACTTCCCGCAGGCCTTCAAAGAAACTTCTTGCCGAACAATGGCGAAGACTGCCAGTTCTCCAAGATCAGTCGGTCATCCAACAACAAAGATGTTGGCAAAAGAAGCTCCTTCGTTCCTCTTCCTTTGGACCTTGGCCCTTCTACTCCACTCATGCCTGCTCACTTCCACAGCAACTCATACTCTTTCATCGGCTCAGACCACAAGTATCGTTCATCTAGTGATGGATTCTCCCTCAATCATCCTGCAATGGCCAGATATGAGAGTCTCGTGCAGTCAACAAGGTTGCTTCTCGAAGACCCTTCCACCCCCATGGCTGGAGAAGATAAAGATTGCTTTGTTGGTGTCTGCCTTGATACCACCAGTGAGACGAAGCCCTTCTCCCGCCCCGGAATGATTCAAGCATCTCCTCTGGACAGAGCCTCTAACACTGCACCGACTCTGCGTTTTGAATCCCACAGAGCTTCCAGTGAAGCTCAGCCGACAGATGCGCTCACGGCTACCCTTCCTCGTCCTTGCAAGACTGAACAGCTGCCCATTGAGAATCACTGTCGGGCCAGCAACATTACGCACGCTGCATCAAATGAAGTCGCTCCGCCCGATGCCTCTTTTCGGAGAACCACTGCACCGATGTCGTTGTCCACAACTAGTGTTGAAAGAAGTTTATCTGCACGTCGTCTGCAAATTGGAATTTCAGAAGTGTCTCCACCTTGCTATGGTTCTGCAACTTCTTATGAAAGATATCGCCAGCAGTTTACACTGACAGCCACGGGTTACAGGGACGAGAACAATGTATCGCCTCTCAGTTTTGAGCATTTGCATGAAATGCCTTTTGATGGAAACGTGTCTCTTTTGAGCGATTCTCCGGCATCTGCACAGACTGAGGTCTTTGCGCCAGTGGTCACGCGGAGACAGGAGCCTCAACAGACTTTGGACGACGCTCTGACACCAATGGTTGAAGATGAGACATTTCACCAAAGCATCTCAGATGATGCAGCTGACATTGCAGACACATCTTCCATTTACTCACAGGATAGTGCTGTCACAGCAGTTCACCATCCTTTGACTGGATGTCGCCCTTCTTCTACGGACTTGATGTTGCTGGCGCCTACGACCAGTGAGCTTGAGAATGGAGAGGGTTTGACCCCGCGCCAACCAGAGAACCTTCCTTCCCATGTCGCTCACTCTCAGGAAAGAGCTTCACGACGCTCACCCAGTCTCGAAGCTATCTCATACGTTCCAAGTTCAGAGAATGCCCAGTCTTATGTCGCTCATGAGGAAAACCATGACACTGCTGATCACAGATACTCTGAAGCTCCATCCAGTACCATCAGCAACTTTTCATCGCAAGCAACTGGATCTGCCGGAGACCGACACGACCGCTACTCGACTGCATCTCATGTGAGTACAGCCACATCTGTGTCGACATCCGCCTCTTTTCGTCTTCCCATCCAAGGCACTCCGGGCAGCCTGGACACCGATTATGCCAAGGCCAGCAGCAAGTATGCACGTCATGTGGCCACTGAGACTTCGGCCCCGGAGGCTTCCTCAAGAATCTCCAGCCTGCGGGCTCAGGATTCTCTACCGCCCTCCCGGAGCTCTGTCGCCAGAAACCAATCATCTTCCCCTCGCATTTCTTCCTCGGTTACCTCTGCCGATACTGCCGCGTACTACCGCCAGAAGCGCCTTCCCAAACGACCAGAGCCGGCACAAAAAGACCCTGTCACCGAGGCCATCGAGTCTTCTCGCAATTCTGAGCTTCCATCTCTTCACGTCAGAAGACGCAGGGCTGTCCCGAGCCTGCCTCAAATCTCGGCATCTCAGGCATACCCGAAGCCGCTGAGGCTCAGCACGATGAAGAGCCCCAGTCCAGCCCCTACGGCGTCGACTACCGACCGCGCAGCTTCCGCTGCCAGCACTGGAACTGTCGCTCGTTCAACTTCGAGACTCATCACAGATATCGGAAACGAGTTGAACCGCGAGATGGAAGAAGTTTTGTCGCCTCGCTCCGCTGCCGTGGCTCATCGCGCGCTGACGCCAAAGAAGGAAGTCGACATTGATACGCCTACTCGTCGCCCTCGCCAAGTCCAGTCGATGAAGTCGATTCCTTTCAATGCGCCTCCTCTTCCGGCGCCCAACAAGCCACTTCCTTCGATTCCGAAGCCCCAGACGCCAAAGCCCAAGCCGAAGACTGAGGCTCCTGATTCTGGCTTCATCGATGTGGATTTTGGTCCTGGGCCTGCCAGATCTTACGTTCCCGCCCGCCCGCCGCCGCCCATTCCGGTCTTGAAGCCGATCGACACCACTTCGCCATCTGCTTTCGATACGACGTTTGACCCTTATGTCACTCGAGCCGACTTTTCCATCAAGAGAGACCGCACAGTTCGTCCAGCTGCGTCCATGGCGACCATGTCTCCTCGTCCCAGTAAGTTTTTCCACAGCCTCAACGTCCAACTTTGTACTGACAGCAGTCCGTAGCACCATTGGTCGACCAGCGCCAGCAGCGCGTCGTTCAGCCAACAACCTCGGCTTATGGTCAAAGACCGGCCAACGCTCCTTCCCGGTTCTTGGGTAAGATGGCATCAATGGCCGAGCTCAAGAACGGCAGAAGAGACACGATTTCGAGTCGTTCGACTGACAGTGACGATGCCGTGGGAATGAGAACTTTCCTTAGTGAGGACAGTGCTGCTTCTTCCGCGTCCTCGTCGACTAGGGACAAAGCCACATCGGGCTCGAAGCGGAAGTTCTTGAGCAACTTGTTCAAGAGAAACCGCAAGGACGGCGAGAACTAAGTGTCTGGTATGGGGTGAGTGTGAGTATTAAGAGAGAGCAGGGTCTGAAAGGGATGTTCACAGACTAAGCTGTGTGATATGTATTTGTACAACCATGACGAGAGATGATGGCCTGGGAACTGGGGATTATATGTATAATGGTTTGACAAGTGCAGTTCTCACTAGGAGAAATGCGGCTTGACACGGGGCAGAAATCATCAATGTGTTACTCGGCGTCCTCCATTTTCCCCTACCGTTGTCCACTTCTCAACTGAATAAGTGCAGGAGAATAGAGTCTCTTGCGATACCGACAGCAAAAGAATGAAGGAAACAAAAAGAACAAAACGCTTGTTGGGATGCAGCATTAGGGGTTGCGCAAGAAAGTACAGGTAATGGGCCGACTTCATCATGCTTGATGATGGGGATGAGGCAAGCCATTTTGGGTCAGCTGTTGGAGCAGTCCACGGGTCTCGGCTGGCAATTATGTCATCCGGGCCCGGCGTCCAGGTTATGGGGATGGATCCTCCCGATCCCTATGTCCGGCCCGGCAGGTGGAGAATCCCCTGACGGAACCCCTGAGGAGTCCTTGGCTGCTGTAACGTCTTAGGGCGTGTACGGATGCCAATCATACCTATTGAACCGTTGATTCCTTTGTACCTGTCTTGAATGTTGCCAACGTCTCGTAGTCGCAAAATGGAAGAAGGGGTTGAAAAGAAAGAGGCAATTAATTGGCCATCCACGTGACCCCCGACGCTGCTTAACTCCTTTTCTCACTACCACCGACGTTGCGTGGACAGACGACGCAATGGACGACGCATAGTCGACGCGGCTGGAACACATTTGCTGCGCGGCTAGAGTATATATAGCCATGTCCCCGAGATTGTTTGAATTCCATTCAGTCACATTGTTTTCGTTTTTTGTTGTTGCACTCTGTGGCACCAAACAAGCGGCAGAGAGGCTGATGGAATGTTGGTTCCGGTGGTTTGCAGACCCGGGTCGCCGGAACGGGAACGGAACCATCACTAGTTGTTTGTCCAGTCCCCTTCTGTGCTAAATTTGAACCCCAGCGCGCAGTCTCCGTGAAAATGCTACCTACCTCCATATGGCCATTTCGCTATTATCCGGGGACCGGTGGGAGGATTTGGAGAGACCGAGAGAGAGAGGAAAAAGAGGCAGGGAAGCTCCCTGTGGCTAGTATGATTGGACCATCCCAAAGAACTGGGGATCTGCCATTGCAATTAAAGGCTATTTTCAACACGGCAAAGGCTATTATAGTAAAACCACTTAATCGTCGACACCAGGCACAGGAGGGTTTTCGCGAAGGGGGGTGGGGGGTTTGCAGCTTCGCGCCTCTTTTTTGTTCTTTGGAATGCGCGCGCAAACCGAGACAATAGAGTGGCGGCTCAAATTACGCAGCACGCAGCACGTAGTATCCGTACACACATGTTGTTTTCTCTGCACCGGAGCTTACGTTGAATGCCCGACGGCAGTTTCTTCCTCCTTTGCTGACCCCCCCCCCCCCCCCATTTAACCTGACTTGCGGCGAATGCGAACCCCCCCAAATTGAAAAGTCTCCAAAAAACAAACTTCTTTGATGCGAAATTTCCCACCGCCGCACGGGCGATTGGAGATGCGCCAATGTTTGCCAAGGGGGAGAGCGAGAAACGGGAGGCCCGGACTGCGAGCCTCCGTGCCGGACGGAAACTGATAAGTTGGGCACATCTCCCCATGGCGGAGCGTGTCACACACATGCTTGGGCGCATTGTTTGAATGCTTTTCTCCTTCAAAGTGTTTACTTCTTCTGATTCATTCAGTCATTCATTCCTTTTCCAGACACTCATTCTAGATCGTAACTAACCCATAGACATTCATTGTAGAAATACACACACAAAAACTGCGCCAGTTTGGATAAGGCAACAATACAAAAATCCACCACCACCACCATCAAAAAGAAGAACACAATGAAGTTCTCCCTCCCCCTCCTCCTAGCCCCCCTCGCCGTCCTCGGCCTCCCCACCACCGACGACAACACGGGCTCTCACTCTCACCACGCCCGAGGCAGCACGGCACACTCCTCCCACCACGCCGCCGCCCACCTCCTCACCCGCCAATCCCCCACCAGCATCGACAAGCTCTTCAAGGCCAAAGGCAAGCTCTACATTGGCGTCTCGGGCGACAATGGCATCATGCAGCAGGGCAAGACCGCCGCCGTCATCCAGCAGAATTTCGGCCAGGTGACGCCCGAGTACTCGATGAAGTGGGACGCCACCGAGCCCACGAGGGGCAACTTTGATTTCACCAACTCGGATTTTCTCGTCAACTTTGCGCAAAAGAATGGAAAGAGCATTAGAGGCCATACCTTGCTCTGGCATCAGGCTTTGCCGGCGTGGGTGTCTGCTATCAAGGATAAGGCGACCATGACCAAGGTGATTGAGACGCACGTCAAGACGATTGTGGGGAAGTACAAGGGCAAGATCAGGTCGTGGGTATGTTTTTTTCTCAGTTTACCTTGAAACGGTTCTTCACCGTTTTACATATCATCTCGCCATGAAATATCACCGTATACTGACAATGCAAAGGACGTCGTAAACGAAGCCTTCAACGATAACGGCACGATACGCAGCACAGCATTCTCCAACGTCCTCGGCGAAGCCTACATCGGCGTCGCCTTCCGCGCCGCGCGCCTCGCGGATCCCGCGGCGAAGCTGTACATCAACGACTACAACCTCGACAACGCCGGCTGGGGCAAGGTCACGGCCATGGTGAACAAGGTGAACCAGTGGATCGGCCAGGGCATTCCCATTGACGGTATTGGTGAGTTTACCTCTTTTTCGTCCTCGTTGTTATCTCTACCCCCTTCAGCCCCATGGAGAAGTAGATGAAGATGCCCGAAGATGGAGAGGGATTCATCCATGAGAGACGGGGGGTGGTACCAACTCATCAAGATATAAAACAAGGGATGACTAACACCACCGCAACACAGGCTCCCAAGCCCACCTGGCAGCAAACATGTCGGGTAACATCCAAGCCGCCCTCGAAGCCCTCGCCCGCTCCCGCGCCTCCGAGATCGCCATCACCGAGCTCGACATCCCCGGTGCGCCCCCCAACGACTACGCCACCGTCGTCGGCGCCTGCCTCAACGTGCCCAAGTGCAAGGGCGTCACCGTCTGGGGCGTCAGCGACAAGCAGTCGTGGATGGCCACCGCTAAGCCCCTGCTGTTTGACGAGAACTGGAGCCCCAAGCCTGCGTACAACGCCATTGTTGCCAAGTTGCGCAAGTGAGGAGATCCCAATAACAGAAAGGGATGAGGATTGGATTTGCAACTCTGGCTTTGGCATCGCATATGATTACCCCCTTTTTTTTTTGAACCTTATATACAAGACGAGATCTGACTTGTCAATTACGTGTGAGGCGTCGTGGAGCTGCGCTCCATTACGCTCAGCCTTCCTCTCAACTGTTGAACCAACTTGAACTAGTTTCAATGGCATCATGTCATCTGGTAATCATTGGTGAAGGCCGGCGACACGGAAAGGAGACAGACATACATTGGCTCCCAGCCCTCGTCCTTTAGACCTAGAAGAGGGCAAGCCAAAGAGACATAAGTTCAATGCATAAACAACTTCTTGACATGTCGGTCACACTTTTTAATAAATGTACAAGGACAACTGAATTCCATTTCTCTGATATGCATCCCTTCTCATCATCATTCAACCGAGTGAATGAATTGTCTTACAGGCTAGATCAGTAATGGACAGATATGGATTACTTGTGCACCAGAATCTTTTGAATGTTTGATCAATTAAATAATTCTCATTCCTCATGAACGAATTCTCTTAAGAATACAATATGCCACCCAACGCCGTCGCAATGAATTTTGAATGTTACAGGTCTTGTCTCTCTGGCCCAGGGAGCTAAGGGGGAACAGAATGCAATATGTGTATGTTTGCGGTGTTTCCAATGCACAAGACATTTTAAACACCAAAGCAATCAATGCGCTTAGGCAGTGGCATTGACCTTCTCCTCCTCACTGGCGGACTCGTGGTGGTGCTTGTGCGCCTCGCCGCGCCACTTCGCAGAGGTGATGGGGTTGACGTGCTGGACGTACATGGTGTCAATCTCCTCGAGGGTGCGGTCCTTGGACTCGATGACAAAGAGGAAGACAATGACAGCCAGGGCAGCACAGCAGCCAGCGAAGACGAGACCGTAGAGGTAGTCAATCGCATCGGTGATGTAGCGGGTGAAGAAGGACATGAGGCTGAGTAGGAGTTAGTTGGATGTTTTGTGAAGTTCAAAGTCAGGGGGTACATACAAGTTCCAGAGCCAGTTGGAGGCGGTGGCAAGAGCCATGGCGGGAGCACGGTAACGGGCAGGGTACAACTCAGCGACGACAGCCCAGACGAGAGGGCCCCAGGTCGTGGCGAAACCGGCGATGAACAGGCAAGAGAAGGCAACGAGGACGGCGCCGGCCTGGGGGGTGTTGGAGGGGGTGACGGTGTCGAGGGCGAAGTGACCGACAAAGGCGTAGACGAAGAAGCACATCATCATCCACAGAGCACCGACGATGAGAGCAATACGGCGACCGGACTTCTTGACGACAACCAGACCGCCAAAGGTGCAAGCGACGTTGACAGATCCGAGAATGAGCTGAGTGACGTAGCTGTCGCTGAGACCGGTAGCGGAGAAAACGGTGGTTCCGAAGTAGAAGAAGAAGTTGGCGCCAGTGAGCTGCTGACCGGCCTGAAGCACGATTCCGAGAATGGTACGGTAGAACATGCGGGGGCCAGTGAAGATCTCCCAGATGCTGGTGTCGGCGCCAGCAGACTCCTCGGCGACCTTGGCGCGGATCTCATCGATCTGGAGGTTAACGGAAGCGGCGTTGGGCTCGACTCCGGCAAGCTTGGCAATGTTGCGGCGAGCCTCGTCCTCGCGACCCTGGCGGAAGGCGTAACGGGGGGACTCGGGAAGGAGGAGGATACCGGCACCGAGAATGAGGGCCCAGGCGAAGCCGAGACCGTTGGGGATACGCCACGAGGCAGAGCCGGCCTTGTTGTGGGTCGCGAAGTTGACAATCTCGGCGAGCCAGATACCGAGAGTGATGAAGAGCTGGTAGGTGGAGACAATGACACCGCGGATGATGGCGGGACAGGACTCGGACTGGTACATGGGAACGACGACGGAGAGGGCACCGATACCGACGCCGTTAACGAGGCGGCCGATGGCGAACTGGTACCACTTGGTGGTGGAAGAGATCTCGATGACGATACCAATGCAGGAGAAGAAGGCAAAGAGCGAGATGGTCATGCGACGGCCGAGAGTGTCGGCGAGCTTGCCGGCAGTGAGAGCACCGACGAGACAGCCGATACACAAGAGACCGACAATGGTACCCTGGCGAGCGGCGCTGAAGACGTAGGTGCCATCCTGGGGCTCACCGAAGCGCTGCATGAAGTCTTCCATCAGGAAGAAACCGGAAATCTGACCACTGTGAGGAACAAAGGGTCAGCAAACGGAACGGCCGGCGAGACATGTAGGTCTCAGATGGGGGAGGGCGGGGCGGAGAGGTGCCCCCCGGGGGAAGTAAGACATACCTGACATAACCGAACATGAAACCACCGATACTGGCAACGAGACCGAGGAAAGCAGCGGCGAAGGTAATCTTTTGCTCAGCCGTGATATCGGAGCTGGAATCCGGGGTGGGAGCATCGGCTTCCGTCCGGTCCTTATGCTCTACGCCCTTGCCACCGAGCTTGGGGAACTGCATGATGGGCGATGCTGACGATGCGCGTCGATATGGGGATGGATATGTGGGGGTGGGTTTGGTGTTCTCGATCCAGGGGAGGATGTAGAGGTGGGAGGAATAAGTCTGTTGGTTTCGAGGGTGACGATGTCGAGGGTGAGAACGAGGTTGTTGGTGTTGTTGATGTTGTTGTTGAGTGTTTGCTTCAAGAAGAAGGAGGGAGGGAGGGAGGAAGGAAGGAAGGTATTATACCTGCCTTGAGCGGTTGAGGTGTGGAGAGGACAAGGTAGTTGAGATAAAACTCTGATTAGTCTGGAGAAGTGTGGGATGGGAAGGAGGAAAGGGGGCCTAGAGTAGACGATGGGGGAAGGAATGGATTCTTTTTGTATTAGAGGAAAGAGGTCAGGAGACGAGCAGGTCCTTCCACAGTTCCATAAGGTACGGAGTAGTCTGGGTTGACTGGGAAGGTACGACGGGACTGGGGACTGCCCGGGGACTGGGTCTCGCGACCACGGCTCCGGGTTGGGACGTACCTACTTTCCGGTTCGTACCTTCCTCACTTTACTTCCTACCTAAGCTACTTACTTTACCATGTGCTTACCTTATTTCGGTACTTGATCAAGGTATGGAAGGAAGCACGGTAGGTGAGGTACCTTACCTTGCTTGGCATGGCATGGCGGAAAGCACGACGGAAGGCACGAAGAAGGGAAGGAATGAGCAGATGCTCACCCCGTTCTCACCCATTGGAACCCATTCACTCCCCGTATATCCCCGTATGCCTCCGCATGCGTTTCCACACTTTGACTGATGGAAAGGTGCTTTTCATGCCTCATGATCACGTCTCTGACCAAGCAGGGCAGCCGGGGTGGGCATCTTGGTTTGCTTGCTAAACAACGATAAATCAAAACGAAAGGAAAGGAAGAAAACGATACCCACAATGCTGGGTGCAGATTACCTTAACCCACACTCCCACACTCCCTCCCACAGTCCACAACAAGATGCATCAAACGGACAAGTCGGGGGCCCGTGGGCGAACCAAGAAAAGTGCGGGCAGCAACGTACGTGTGTGGGCTGGACTGTGGGAGAATGGCGGGTGAAGACCGGGTGAAGAAAGACGTGGTGGTTCTGGCCCAGTTGTCTTGTGGGCGGAGAGTCGCGAAAGAGAATACCGTGACCGTGGTGACATGTCGGACCAGGGTGACTTTGAAAATTGAAGGTTGTGGTCGTAGTGAGAGGGCCTGGGAGGAACCTCTTGGGACGGTGGGACCGCCGCTGATGGACCGGATGGCCATAGCTCTCGCCGTGTCGCGAGCCTCACGAGTGACGTTGGTGGTACATTGCGCCGAGTACCTCCGGCCGATGCAGCTGAGGTTCAAGCAAACCACCGTGGCACCGTCAAGCACCCGACACCGTCAAGGAACTGGATCTGGTGTGCACGGTGTACTGAGTACGGTGCGGCGTCGGCGAAAGAGAACTGGAGAGGACACAAGGGAAGGCAAGGCAAGGGAAGGGGTGTGTCCCATGAGCTGATGATTGACGTCGAGTCTCATTGCAATTATTCGGTCCAATGCTCGGCCACTAAGAGGAGTCGGTCTAAAGATGAGGCTCCCCGGTGTGAGCGAGCACTGAGCAGTACACAAAATGGTGGTCTTCAAGGTGACAGGGACTACAGACCAGACTTTCAGAAAAGAGGCCGAGACGACGGCGTATGCGGCAGGGTCACCACAATTATTCGAGGTGATAGCTGGAACCCGCCGAATGGATCTGGATTCCCTGTCCAGGATCTGTACACTACTTGCAGACTTGCAGGCTTGCAGGCAGAGGCAGGGCGACAAATTCAGAAAGCAGTCAAGGCCCAAATTGGACGGGCCACAATTACACTAATCGGACCCTTTATCCTTGGCGTGCTGCTGGAATCTGTCTAGCACGAGATGATCCGCCTGACTGTCGTTACCTTCCAGGTTATGGTCCAGCGTGGGTGTGCTTCGTTGTTGGTGGAGATCCCGAAGCCTCCGATTGACGTCAGGCTCAGGGTCAGGATGCACCGATGCAGGTCCCGTCCCGTATGCTGCCACCATACCACCGTGCCACCGTGCCACCGCACCACGGAATTGTGAAAAGGCACCTAACCTTGATCATCTAGGTATGCGCCATGCCATGGAGGGACGGGAGTATGATTGATTGAATGACAGTGACGACGGCTTGGCGGCTGGCCTTGCTTGGCCTAGGTGTGTACACTGTAGCATTGCTAGCATCGCTAACAGGAAATGCTGCACGGCTGACTGATGGACTGACAAACTCAACTTAACACGCAGGTTTGTCATACACAACAAGCACAGGAGAGAGAGAGTCAGGTTCCCTGCCCCCTGATTGAACTGTTCCGTTTCTTCGAGAAAAGATCGCTGGGGCCCTGGAACCACACTCTCACATCATAACATCAGACGATGCAGCTGTTCGTCCACGTATACGTAGATGCGGAAAGAAACCGACGTGGTAAACAGGGAGATGCAGAGTAATGAAGGCAACGGAACATGGACAGAGAGAAAA